CCTTGCTTGCTATCTTTGTGCAGGAAGTGGACAACAACATACTGCAATCCCGGTGACTTCACTCAAAGTTGGGAATGAGATTTTACTTAGAATACAAGGTGGGGCTCGTCATACAGGAATAGAGATTCAAGAGTTCATTGTTGAGACCTGAACAACCTACTATCATTTTCTGGGGAGGGTAAAGTTTTACCGAAAGAAATGGCAGGAAAATTTTAGTGATTGAATGATTATCTTTTTATCTTTAATGAATGTATGAAAATAATATGCTTAATGCAAATGAAAGTATATAGATTATGAGGAGGCTTAAAACATAAGAATTTATTCGCTTTTCAATAACGTACAAGTTAATATATATATAGACTAAGTTGAAGTGTTTAAATATCTCGTATAACATACAAATGGTTCAAACAAGATGATGTGAATACTAGGTTTCACTATGCATCAACCTTGATTAGAAGAGCTTGAAAAAGAATCGAAGGGATGAAAGAAAAGGGGAGATATGGTACAAGGTTAAACTGTAGCTATCGGGCATTTCAAAATCTGTTTACGAACAGATTGGCCTGATGGAATTTGGAGTTGAAGCTTTGCACCCCAAAATTTCTTAGACTGGCAAGGAGTTTCTTACTGCTTCCATCCCTATAGAGGATATTCTGCTCTTATGTCAACTGAAAGCCCCAGAAATTGACGACATTCAAGCCATTTTTTATCAAAGGAATTAGGAAGACAGTGGCTGACTCATTACTGAATATGGTCCAAAAAGTTAGAGATAATGGCCATTTCTCAGATGAGCTCAACACAAGGCCACTGGTTTTATTCCAGTAAGTACCAAAAAGTGAAATCTCTTAATCAATTTCCCCAATTGGCTAATGCACTGTTTTCTCAAAATCATCTTTGAGGTCTTGGCAGGAAGAATGAAGACTGTTCTATCCAACATTAATGGCCTGTATTTATCAAGTTTTTATACGAATGGATAAATAGCAATCATGGATGTGGGGTCTTACAACGGATTTTATTCAGTGTGATATTGTCCGAGCTAAGTTGATGGCATCATGGAAGTGTTCTGTATTGCTGCAGCTAGGTATCGCCTGCGTGTTCTGCTTGAATCAGACTCTTCGGATGCCATCCAGCTCCAAAGGAAGGAAGAGTAGGATCAGGTTTTTGATGTATATAGTTCTGTGTGGTTCTGGTTTCTGGGTTTTCTTTTCTTAATCGCTGTCCTACCAAAAACTTTATTTAAAAAAATAGAACTGAAAAGAAAAATTCCCAGTCATTAGGTCATATTACCTACAATTTGAAGTCAACTTTTGACATTTCCTTTCACTGTGCCTGTGTTTTCTATTATCACTTCTCAAAGATTTGTTATCACTTTATCACTTAAAATGATAACGTTTTAGCTCATGCCTATAACTTACTTTAATATCTGCAGACCGTTGAAATAGAAAATCAAGTTTGCTACTGATTCTAGATAAATCCTGATCAATGATTGAGAAAGACAATAAAAACCTTTGCTAATTATTTTACATATATATATATATATATATGTATGTATGTATGTACATATACATATATGAGGCTAAAAGGTAATTGTCAGAGGAGGATTATGTTTGCAGCTAAGGTAAAAAGGTAAAGACACTTGTCTTTGAGATTTATATGAAAGTTTTCCAATAAGTTTACTGGTTGGTTGGTAGGAAACAGAAGAAAGTTTTTTTTTTTTTTTATCATTCTGGTATACATAATGAATTCCTTTCATTGATCTTGTAAAAACTAAACATAGCTAGAGGAAAATTAGTAGTGTTCAAACAAAATTAATTAAATGAAGGAGTGAGCATACCACAGATCCATCCATATAATATATATATATATATATATGGACATAAGATAATAAAAGATTGTTTATAGCAAGATTTGTTTAAAATTTTGAGAGTTGACTAATCTGGTAATCATGTGGCTTGTTCAGATAAATTAATCATTCACACTGAATTCATTATACACCCACATCCCTTCCCTTGATATTCCTGTAATCATATCCACAAACATGCCAAGAATTTCGGGTAGTTTCCATCCTGGGGGATCAAATATTAGATTTCATATCAACTAAACCACCTTAACTTAAATTCAAGAAAAAAGTAAGTAACTTTATAAAAGAAATGTGTATGTATATGTATACAGACTATAATGAAATAAAAACACTACATCTATACATATATAGATATAAAGAGCGTGATTACAGTTTGGGTTGATGAAAACAATCAATCCAAAAAAAGTTGAAACATAATTGAGAGAGGGAAGAGAAAGGAGAGAAGTATTCAATGTCAACCTCAAAAGGATAGAGAGATGAGTTGAAAGATTTTATAATAATAAAATAATATTTATAGGGTATTTGAATTGTAAAACATGTAATAATTTTGAAAATAAAAAATAAAAGGTGGTGGCAGCAGGTCACATGGATACCCCCACACACACACACACACACAGAAGTTAGATACTTGGCAATTGTCAGATGAAAAAAAATACAAACGTCTCCTTCAAAACCCTTAAAAAAAAAAAATGACAATCTCCTTCCCTCCATTTGTTTTCTTCTACTCCCATCTCCTTGGCTGCTTTCCTCTTGGAATCTGTGTTTCAGAATCTCTCTTTCTCCTCTTTTTCTTCAATTTTATTTTCTAAATTTCTTCTCCAAAAGCTACCACTTCTATGAAACTTTTACATCTTATCATTATAAAACTCCTGATTCCAATAATTATTATTAGAAAATATGTCTGAAATTAACTGCAATACATATATATTTTATATAGTAGAGAGAATCCTCTTTTTATTTTGAGATTTATAAATTATACTTTTCATGGCCCATGCTATATGCCAGAGCTGGAAACCCACTCAATGGCACATGTACCTTAACCAAACATATTTCTTTTTTTTTAATTATTATTATTATTATTTATATTTTGTATCATTTCATGATCCAATCAGATGGATAACACTTCATTGAACTGTATTCTATGGAATGGTAATTGTATGATTCAGTGCCAACAAATTCCCCATACAAATTTTCAGCTA